TATCAGGAAGAAATTTTTCACTCTGAGGGTGGTGAGGCACTGGAACAGGTTGCCCAGAGAAGCTGTGGATGCCCCGTCCCTGGAAGAGTTCAAGGCCGGGTTGGATAGGGCTTTGAGCAACCTGGTCTAGTGGGAGGTGTCCCTGCCCACAGCAGGGGGGTTGGAACTAGGTGATCTTCAAGATCCCTTCCAACCTAAACCATTCTATGATTCTCTGACCCTTCCCACCTCACACCCTGCGCCCCCTGAGCTTGCGGGCCTCCCTTCTTGCTGCCTGTCTCCGGGTGCTTGCCAGTTAGTCCACGTGTTTCCCGCAGCTTTCGGGTAGCTGTGTTGGTGCCCCGGGGCAATGTCAGACCAGAGACGCTCCTGAACACCAGCTCTACACCCACATCACTGCTGTGGCAGCAGCCTGCCTTGGGCACCGGCACGCAAGCCCAGGATTCATGCTCTGCAGCAGTTGTACTTTGAGTAACACCCGTTTTTCAAGGTTAAAGAATTCCTCAGCCTTGCACTGAACTCCAGTTCTGTTTACTGGTATCCAGCAATACTTTCTGACCACAGTCTGCTAGAGCTGCAAGACACAGTCCTCGACAAAAAAGGTCACCCTCTCCCCAGGCTCCCACCGCAGGTCAGTGTAAAACCAAGCGTGGTCAGGAGACAGGCCACCAAACACGGCCTCTGCCGCCGCGTTTCACCTCTGGAGAACAGGCTTGCGAGGCACTGTGACATGGCCTGTGCTACACCGGCTGCAGCTGCTTAAAGAAGAATTGCTAGTTACTGCTTTTTGTTCAAAGTAGAATGTAGTAGAATAACAGAGCAGTCACGCTTGGCTTCATCTACCTTAAACTATGCCTTTTCTAATACAGTGTGATTTCACTCATTTTAGTGCATTTACACTGTACAAAACTGAGACAGCAACAGTTCAGCTCTCCAGTTACTGAAGAGGCAAAAGCTCCAAGCCTCCACCGACTTGATCACATCCCTTCCATGACAGCACTCTGTAACGGCATAAGCACAGAAGACAGCAAAGCAGGAAGCACACACGGAATATCCCAGCTATTGCTTCTGGGCACAGAGCCACAACATAACCAACAGCACCTCTGTACTGCCACACTGACGAAACACCTCTTTGGTCAGCTGAGCACCTCCTGTCAAGCTTCCCTGGAGGGTGACCTGCTACACCAACCTTAGGACTTGGCTCTCTCTACTCTCTGTGTTTCACAACAAAATTGATCCAGGCAGACTGTCATACACAGGCAAAAAATGACACATGCCTAATAGCACTGCCACAGAAGTCTAGCTTGGCTAGTCCCTCCTGAGTAAAGTAGATTCCAGCTGCCGAGTAGGAAAAGGTCAGCTGAAACCTGCATTCTTTAAATACTTTCATTTAGCAAGCAGCTGAGAGCCTGAAGCGCTGTTCACTTCACTGCCAGTGGCAGCACGCAGACAGGTCAGAATTGTTCATTTTGCCAGTACTTGTTCTGCTCTACTCACTTGCATCTAAACAATTGTTGGTAGCAATGTTTATCTAAAAGCTAAACACCGATACTTATATACAGTCTGTGGAACAATCTGTTTCTTTGGTTTTAGCTGACAATTAACTTCTAACAGCTGTACTATTAAACAGCAGAGTCTAACATCCCTGTGAAAATACAGGGATAATATATGTTCAAAAATGAATGCATATTATTTTACATAGAAAATTTCTTCCTTTTCCCAGATGTGAAAGAACAAAATAGCAACAGCCTGTAATTTGAACCATCTAGATTAATCTGATTTCTGATACACACTGAAGGTAGTAATAGATGAAGACTTGAAAAACATTACCTTTTGGCGTCCATGTCTCTCAGATTCGTAATAAAAAGACCTATTGTAAATTAAATCCATCTTTTTAACAATTAACTACCCAAATTTTGGGAGTTTAAAAAAATATCAGTTTGGCAACTCCAAAATTTTCCTAATTACATCTCTCCTTCTGTTATTAAAACCCACCATACCCCCTCTCCGTTCACAGAATCACAGAATCATTTTGGTTGGAAGAGACCTTCAAGATCATCAAGTCCAACCATTAACCTAACGCTGCTAAGTTACCGCTAAACCACGTATGTCTTTTAAATACCTCCAGGAATGGTGATCCAACCACTTCACTGGGCAGCCTGTTCCAATGTTTGATAACCCATTCTGGATATTAGGAAAATTTCTTCACAATCTAAGCCTCCCCTGGTGCAACTTGAGGCAATTTCCTCTTGTCCTATTGCCTGTTACTTGGGAGAAGAGACCAACCCCCACTTCTCTACAACCTCCTTTCAGGTAGTTGTAGAGAGCAGTAAGTAAGGTCTCCCCTGAGCCTCCTTTTCTGCAGGCTACATAGCCCCGGTTCCTTCAGCCACTCCTCATAAGACTTGATCTCCACAGCCCTCACCAGCTTCGTTGCCCTTTTCCAGACACGCTCCAGCACACCAATGTCTTTCTTGTAGTGAGGGGCACAAAACTGAACTCAGTACTTGAGGTGCAGCCTCACCAGTGCTGAGTACAGAGCTACAATCACTCCCCTATTGCTGCTGGCCACACTATTTCTAATATAAGCCAGGATGCTATTGGCCTTCTTGGCCACCTGGGCACACTGCTGGCTCATATTCAGCCACCTGTCAAACAATACCCCCAGGTCCTTTTCTGTCCAGATCCCTCTGTAGAACCTTCCTACCCTCAAGCAAATCAACACTCCTGCCCAACTTGGTGACATCTACAACCTTACTAAGGGTGCACTCAATCCCCTTGTCCAGATCATTGATAAGGATATTCAAGAGAACAGGCCCCAATACTGAGCCCTGGGGAACACCACTCTTGACCAGCTGCCAACTGGATTTAACTCCATTCACCACAACTCTTTGGGCCTGGCCTTCCAGCCAATTTTTTTACCCAGAGAAGTATACACCCATCCAAGCCATGAGCAGCCAGTTTCTCCAGGAGTATGCTGTGGGAAATGGTGTCAGAGGCTTTACTAAAGTCTAGGTAGACAATATCCACATCCTTTCCCTCGTCCACTAAGTGGGTCACCTTGTCATAGAAGGACATCAGCTTAGTCAAGCAGGACCTGCCTTTCATGAACCCATGCTGACTGGGCTTAATCACATGGTTGTCCTGTATGTGCTATGTGATGGCACTCAGGGTGATCTGCTCCATAACCTTCCCTGGCACCAAGGTCAGACTGACAGGCATGTAGTTCCCCAAATCCTCCTTCCAGCCCTTCTTTGGATGGGCATATTTTCTAACCTCCAGTCAATTGGGACCTCCCTGGTTAGCCAGCACTGCTGACAAATGATGGAAAGTGACTTGGTGAGCACTTCTGCCAGCTCTCTCGGTACCCTTGGATAGATCCCATCCAGCCCCATAGACTTATGTGCATCTAAGTGGTGTAACAGCTCGCTATCTATTTCCTATTGGATTATGGAGGGCTCATTCTGCTCCCTATTCCTGTCATCCAGCTCAGGGGGCTGGGTACCTAGAGAACAACCGGTCTTACTATTAAAGACTGAGGCAAAGGCAGCATTAAGTACCTCAGCCTTTTCCTCATCCTGGGTCACTATGTTTTACCCTGCATCCAATAAAGGATGGAGATTCTCCTTTGTCCTCCTTTTGTTGTTGATGTATTTATTGAAACATTTTTTTATTGTCTTTTACGGAAGTAGCCAGATTAAGTTCTAGTTGGACTTTGGCCCTTCTAATTTTCTCCTTGCAAAACCCTTCCCCCCTCGCATTCCCTATCCCGCCCCCCCCCCATTCTATGATTTCTTACGCCTGTAGGCAGGGAGAACCGAGAGCTTTGTGACTTGCCTTGGCAACCTGCTTTCCCTCCCCCATGCATTCCAGCCCCCTCCACCACTGCCCCAAGCAGCATACAATCAAGAAATTCTAGACTAGCTCTTTTCACAGTTTTAATATTTTGGTGAAGCCCATAAGTAAAATCAAAGCTTTAAACAAGCTTGTTCTCCAAGTGCCTTGTTATTTTCAAAAAAAAATCTACAATGAGATAGACAGTGAAACAACCATCTACACCTTTGTTAATCAGGTTAGCACAAGTAACACCAGCTCCCGTTGTAAGCATATATTTTACATACTCATTCATTGTATCAACGCCAGAACTACTAGACTGTGATTCTAGAGAATCAGTAACAGATCAATGCAAGCTGTAAGTAGGTTTCACAGCCCAAGGGAAGCCGTAACACTGCAGCGTCTTCTTCAACAGGATCCAAACTAGCTAGGTTGAACTACAGCACTCACATCTTCTGAAAGCAGAAGTAGTGAAACCTCACCTAGTCCCTGCCATACATGCCCTCATCTGATAATCTCTTCTAATCTAAATTCTCCCCCGACATTACATGTTTTTCCTCCATAAAACATTACCTTTTTTCCCCCCTAAACAACAACTGAAGAAGGCAGTGCAGATACACTTTAACCACAAACTACTAATGCTGACAAAGAATTTTGAAGTGAGGTGGGACAGAAAATCTGAGGAATTATTCTTTTAGTTATGAATATATACATAGTATCTATAGGCATATATGCCACCTTAGAACTGTTTTACAAGTTGAATTAACTTGTAGACCCTGTGCCGTATGAACACATGCATGTATGTATACATCTGTCATAGCTTGCTGTTGTACTGGTGCAAAGCAGCCTGATATATTCCCTACAGAAAAAGAAAAGCAAAAGCCATAGGAAAGTTTTAGACAACCATAGGTACATTTACCAAACAGAGTAAAAGCTATATTAACAGACAATGAAGGGTATGCTGAAATGCCTAAGTTTGCAAACAAGATTTAAAATTATACATCACAACCCGTATCTATTTTGATCAGTCAGACAAAGTTTAAAAAAATCTTTTTCAAAAGCTTTTCAGCCCAATAGGCAACTTCATCCAAGCCAAAAATACCACACAATTTTACAAGCTTAATTTGCAATTACACAATTTTTTCTGCTGAAGAGCCTCTTCTGGGACCTCTATTATTTAAAGGCATTCTTCTTGTACTTGGCTTTTCTGATTTAACTCTGCATAGTCTAGTTAACTTTTTTTTTTTTAAAAAAGATATTTTGTCCCCAGAACCATCTGAGAAGGTAATTAGCAGGAACTGAGGACTCTAGTACCATGAGGATTTTCATTAGTTGTGCCACAAGAAACAAACCAAAACACACACAGATCAAGCCCAGGAGACCTAAAAGCATTCTGTAGGGCACTAGTGAGCATACTGCTACCAAGTAAACTTGGAGAAGAAAAGGTTCCTTCACACTGTTTCCTACTTAAATACAAATCAATGTTTCAAAACACACACAATCTAAATTTAAGATCATCCTTGAGACACTAAGGTAAGTTCTCACAGCCTTACCATGGATCAGGTGCCATACAATTAAGTCTCAACACTGCAAGCGGTAACCCTCTAGTGATTTGCAGCCTGGTACTAGACTCCTGAGACTGGGTTCGTGTTAAAAGATTAGCACGCAATTTAAAGAGAAAAACGCAAGCAGTGTTAGAAAGCTCTAATTCAGACAGGCAAATCAAGATCTGCCATGTTTTCAGCACAGCATTCTAAGCAGTATCACCAATCATAAGAGCAAAACCCACCAAAAAAATCCCAACATTGTCATGCCTATTAACTTACATAGGCCTTTTTCCAGACTTTTTGTAGCCCTTGCCCTAAAAGGGACTTAAGCAATATTTACTACGTCAGAACTCATCTAATTTTTGCAACTGGAATTTGGATCTTAATGCCAGTGCATAGAATTGCTCTATTTTGTGATTGGTTTTGAAAGTTTAACCTGGATCTGCCTAGAAGCCAAGATAAACTAATGGAACAAAAGTGGGATTATTTGGAAAAAAAATAATCAGTTCCTATTGCTTCAGCACTTTGATACAAAGACTACAGTATACTTCAGTGTAACTTATATAGCAGTATTTAGGAGGCTTTAAGCATATGCAACTATTCAGCTAATAGCACTATTACTGCATGCGTTACTCTCAGAATAACATGAATAGCTTTAGAAATGCTGGTAAATCCGTATCTGGGGCTGGGAGAGGAAGGGAGAGAGGGAATAAAGAAGAAAGAGATGACTCTCAGGGCTACCTCACACCATTAAATGCCTCAAGTGTAAGAAGCTCATTCATTTCTTGAAGATGCATTGTCTTCCACCTACAACTGAGCTACACATAGGTTATTTTGAGGACTTATTTAGAAAAGTCTTTACCTTCTGTGAAGTAACACTGAAGTTGAGAGGATTCTCCAAAACAGTGCAAAAATAAAAGAATGGCAACATTTAATCGCACTGCAGTTCGGTTTGGGGTTTGGTTTTTTTTTTATGATGCTAATAGTATCCCTGAAGGAGGTCAACTGAAAGTATTTCATGTAACTAGAAGAGAAAGATATATTTCATGTTAAAACATATAGCAAAGTGGGGTGAAAAATAATTAAGGTGAAAAGGGAGTTCCTTAAGCATTGAAAAGCAAATGAAGACTAGCTTCTCCCCCCATCCAAATTAAAGGCCTAAAATAGGCTAAAGGATTAGAGTGCAAAACTATCATTATAGTGCAAATATGACAAATATTCTTCCAAGTGTTGACATGAACTGCTCTGGGTCTACTATCAGATTTTTTTTTAAGCTTGAAAGACTGTAGCAGCACAAAATGACACCACTGATACATTAGCATCTCTTGCTGCTTTTCAGCAATGCATTTATTTTGATAAGGAAAACTGACACACATTAAAGTCATTTTTATTTTTCTGCATTTTGACACCAAGTGAATGTCGTATGTTACAATTCTCTATAGGACGGACACATGTTTAGCTAT